AAATATTTATGATTCTCACAGATATCGGGCATGTTGCAAATAAGCATTATCCTGTGGTGGCTTTGCATTGGCACGGTGCCACAAAGGAGGGGCACCAGGCCTGTGTAAATTTCCCTGTCATTTCTCTCACCTCCACCCAACATACTCTACAAGGGATCATGTTACTCAGAGCGTGCCATAGGCCAGATATCATCGCAGGCCATCTCAGGCCTCTAGTATGTTACTTCAACCAGCGGCGCCCCTTTCCAGATATTAACATGTGAATTCTGGATATAGAAATGAGACCGGGCTTCATTTGTCAGGAACTTATTAACGGGAAAGTGTCCAGTTACCCGTAACAAGGTATTTATCTGCTGTGGGGGGACAAAAAGTAAAGACAGCTTTGGATTGGCTGCTGTTGGCAAAACATTGCTAGAATTCTGAGTACAGCAAGTATAGGATAGAATGTGAAAGAATTACATTGATAAAAACCTGAGTACAAGAAGTACAGAGTAGGGTTGCCACCTGTCCAGGATTCACCCGGACAGTTCGGGTTTTGAATGCTGTGTCCAGGTTTCATGGCAGCTTAAACCTGAACACATGATGTCAGGCAGACAGGGGCAACCAAAATGAAGATAGGGGCTACTGGCCCCCCATTGAAAATAGTCTTGACTGTGATATTTACATATGAATGGGTGGCGCTATTTACATATGAATAAGCCACAACTCATTCTCCCAAAAACATTTCCATGCGTCGCTAGGGTGTTCGGGTTTCGCTGGAAGAAAAGGTGGCAACCCTAAGTACAGGCCGTCCCCGGGCTACAAACAACATAGGGACTGTAGGTATGTTCTTAAAGGAGAACTATGAGGTGAGTGATTTTCACTCAACCTCATAGTTCGAGCCGACGTGTGACAATGAAACGGTCACAGGTCGGCTCAGTAGATCGGGAGGTGAGCACATACCATCGCTCGCTCATTTCTCAATCCTGTCCCTGCAGAGAGCTGTGACTGTCACTCACGGCTCCCTGCAGGGATTCCCCCCTCCAATCCTCCAGCACTGACTGGAGGAACGAATGGGGGAGGGGGCGGGTACAGCCGGCTCTGCCTCTAGATAGGCAGAGCCAGCTGTCAATCACGCACCTGGGTGGATCTCGACAGTAATGTCGGGATCCGTCCCGGCTGCGGCGGTCTCAGTATATCGCGAGCTGTAGCTCGCGGTATACTGAGCTTTGGGTCACGGGAGGACGCTAGTGTATGTCCTCCCGTGACCCTGAGGAGAACTATGGAGAAAAACACTTACCCCATAGTTCTCCTTCAAGTTGAATTTGTATTTTGGAACAGGTACATTTTTTAAGTGTAACTCCAGCCTAAAAATGTTTTTTCGTTTTGGATAACACAGGGAAGGGTTAACCCTGTGTAAAGTTTGTTTTGGTGTATGTGCCCCTGTTTACAAGATTTCACCTCACTTTCTGTCCCTGTGAGAATTGGAAACAAGGATTGGTGATAAAGCTTCAGTGGAGACACCTTTTTTTCCCATGATAACTCTTACAGGAGTGAATTTCCCTTCCTAGGGGTAGATTTCCTCTCACTTCCTGTTGTCTCAAGGACAGGAAGTGAGATTAAATCTTCCTAATGAGGATACAAACAGCAGTAAAAACCTCACAGTGACCCGGAAGAAGAGGCGAGCACCCCTCGTCTGCACGTCTAACAAGAGCCAACTTTGTGTAATGTACGTACAGTACTACAAACCAGAGCCAAAAAGGCGGGAACTCCTCGTCGGCATGAGCGCGGTAGCATTACGACTGACATGCTGCGCGGTTTCTTTGGCTGCAGCTTGGGACTCCCTGCTGTACAGTAATAGCCTCCGTTTGTAAGTAGGAGTCGGATGTAAGTCGGATGTTTGTAACTCGGGGACTGCCTGTATAGGATAGAATGGGAAAGAGTTAGAACCTCTCCTTTATAAAAATCCGAGTAGCGCAACCAATCGGATGTTTAGGAAACCTACAGCTGCAATGTGTGGTCACGCTTTACTTCCAGTTAGATTTGAGTTCTCCATTGAAGAAAAGGAAGCAACCTAGTTATTATTATAGCATAGGATAGAACGTGAAAGGGCTAGAACTTCTGTCTGGTCTGGCCTGCTTCCGCGTATCACTAGGGAAAGTCACCCTGTATGTCTGATGGTTTTGGTGACCATTATATCCAATATACAAAGTATTTGGAGTTTTGAGGTGTCCCGAGGACAGGCGCTGAGTGAAGCAACCAATCAGATATGTAGGATACTAACACCTGCAAAGGGTGGTCACTCTTTGCTTCTAGTTAGTTTTGAGTTTCCCGTTGTCCTTTATGAGGTGAGTGCTTTTCACTCACCTCATAGTTCTAGCCGACCTGTGACAATGAAACTGTCACAGGTCGTCTCAGTAGATCGGGAGGTGAGCGAACACATACCGGCGTTCGCTCACCTCTCGATCCTGTCACGGCTCTCTGCCGTGACAGGGGAGGGGCTGGATTCCCCCCTCCCCGCTCCGATCCGCCAGCGCTGACTGGCGGAACGGACGGGGGAGGGGGCGGGTACAGCTGGCTCTGCCTCTAGATAGGCAGGGCCAGCTGTCACTCACGCAGCTGGGCGGATCTCGACATCGATGTTGGGATCCGCTCCGGCGTCTCAGTATACCGCGAGCTGTAGCTCGCGGTATACTGAGCTTAGAGTAACGGGAGGGCGCTAGTTTGTGTCCTCCTGTTACCCTAAGGCCCTGTTCCCACTGCGCGATATGCAAATTGCGCGTTTGTCGCGCGATTTGCATATTGCGCGACATCGCGAGATTTGCCGCGCGATGTCGCGTTCAAGCTTGCATTGAGCAAGCTTGAATCGCGGCTAAATCCGCTCCAAAAAGGGTCCTGCTGTAGCGACACACGACCCGCGACAGCAGGACCCTTTGCCCCATTGGATTGCATTGGAGCGCGATATCGCGCGGTAATTTGCAGCAATATTGCGGGAATTACCACGCGATAAATCGCTCAATGTGAACGGGGTCTTAGGAGAACTATGGGGAAAAGCCCTGACCCCATAGTTCTCCTTTAAAGAAAAGGAAACAACTTCATTTTTCAGAGGCATATCTGGTAAACAAGCAAGAAGTCAAAGGGCAGGCAGCAATCAATGTGGTCAGGGGCGATCCGGGTCGAAGGTAAGCAAAATCCAACAGAGTCACAGGAAGCGCAGGAAGTAGCTGAAAGACAATCCAGCAACTTGGGATCAGGCAGATTGGTTTAAATAGGCCGGTCTATCAGATGTCACAGCGTCATTTCCTATGCGCTGTTTTTTCCACAATATGGAAAACGGGATCCCGCGCATGCGCAGTAACAGATGTTTTCTTACACTACCCCTGCTCTAAGTAATCTTTCAGCGTTACATAATATTGTTTGTTAATTGTCGTCATCAAACCATGAAAGGTTTTCTGGTGGGGATCACGGTGGTTAATGGCATTGATGCTACATTATGAAATGTTGTGGTATTTTGCGTGTAAACAAAGCCTATTGCAGGATGTCCTCTTCCTTAAAATTAATCTGACTTCTGCTTTCTACGAGGCGTCTACAATGGGAACAATCACTTGCAACGTTAAGATGTGAAATATAAAGGTTTATGTCTAAATAGCCCCGCCTTTAAATAATGATTGATCATCTGTGTGATATTTTAGGGGAACTGAATGAGAAAATGATTGTGATGTTAATTTAAATATTATTATTATTACACAAACGAGATATAACAAGGGAGTGTATGAGTAGTTTTGCGGTTTTATTGGTGAGGAAGGGGTGCATTTTGGAGATGTTACGAAGGTGAAGATTACCCATTTCCGATATCTTCAGAGCTTCTCTGATATACTTTCATATTGACACTAAAGCTTGACCTTCCTGCCTTCAGCATTAAAGCCGGACTATGGCTCCCGCCCCAGCCCCAACTCCCGACCATCCTGCACCTTATTTCTTTTTGACATGCTTATCTTTAGGCCGGTCACGTGTCGTGGAGGGTCCTCTTCTCCAGGTCTAAGTGGTCCTCAGAGCTGCAGATGATGAGGTGATGGTACCAGTGCCGCTTTCTGTAGCACTTTACTTTGAGGGCGGGGTGCAGTGGTGATGCCCTGAACTGCACTGACAGGAAATGGGTTGATAGATGCCGGGTGTCGCTGAACACCCAGAAGATCTCGAGCATCTAGTGGTGTAAAGAATGAGTGAGGGCCGGAGAGGAGGAATAAAGCAGCCAAAGCTGCTTTTTTTTATTTTACACCTCCGGGGGCAACATTTTTTATTGCCCGGAGCTGCCACGTTCCTTTCCACTGTAAGCACTTTAGACCCTGACTGGGGTGAAGGCAAGTAGGCGGGGCTTAGCCCAGACAGCAGGGAGGTCCTGACAACACAGTGAAACTAAGGCTGGGCACACACCTTACAACCATTGCAAGACTTTTGTCTTGTGATGGTTGTAAGGTACTTAACAAAAACGTACGATCTGCCACGCCCCCTGAGGGGCGGGCTTCCGATGACCGCAATGCCGAACGGGCAGTGTGCGCTTGCGCACACCGGCCCGTCCGGCTTTTATCGTACGAACATGCTACACACCCGCTGAACATCGTGCGATGCTCGGCGGGTTTTCAAACATGTTTGTAAGTTTAAAGTCGTGCGACCTTACAGTAGTAGAGGCCGCACGGCTTCCACACACCTTATCATAATCGTACGATCGCGGGATTTCCCGTGATTATCGTACGATGATCGTAAGGTGTGTGGGGACCTTTAATCAGAGAGCTGGCTGGCTGGCTGGCTGGCTGAGAAAGATAAACGGCATTGTGTAGCAGCTGCGTTTCAGCGGAACGTCTGATAAAAGCGTGCAATTGCTGACAGGTCCACTTTAGGAAATGTAAACGATAAATAAACCAAACACTGTAAAGCCCACGTGAGATTTATCTGGTTTTTGTATAAATGTTTTATAAAAAAATAAAATTAAAAGATATGTTTTCGTATTTTTTATTTCACAGGTAAAAGCTTCACGTTGACCATCACCGTCTTCACCAATCCTCCGCAAGTGGCCACTTACCACCGAGCCATAAAAATCACAGTGGATGGACCAAGAGAACCGAGAAGTAAGCCAAGTTTACTTACTGACCCCGCTGCACTATGTACTATTCCTACGGTTGGGTTACTATTATCAGGGTAAGCAACCTCAGCCCTCCAGTTGTGTTGAAACTACAATTCCCATCATGCATCTGCCTCCGGGAGTCCTGCCTGTGGCTGTCGGAGGCTTGCAACGGCTCACGGGACTTCCACAATGGCTGGGGGGCCCAGGTTGCCTACTCCTGACTAGATGGTCAAGTCGCTGTGCCATTTGTCTCCTATAGAGGGCACCGAAGTGTGGTTTTGGTAGAATGGAAGGGCTGGGCAGTGTAGTCCTCTCCATTTTGTACAGTCAGTCTCTCTAGCAGCTAAGATAATGTATCAGCCACCTGGAGCGTGCATTGGATTCAATCAGTCGTGTCTGACTGGTAGACTTCCATAATGAGAGGAATGGCTACAAAGCCGGGCAGTGGTATCACAAGGGGGGTGCGGCCCGAACCTAGGTGACTCCATTAGATGTGTCATTTTGGTGCCGCCCCCTCTGAAAAGTCGGGCACTCGGTCATGGACGAGGAGCCCCGACAGTTGCAGGAGAGAGAAGGGGAGCCAGCAGGAAACCTTATCCTGCCAGGTGAACGTCCCCTCCTCTCTCTGCCGGCGTCCATCGACATTGCAGGTATCACAAAGATGGCTGCGCATGCGCGATGACGACGCGGCCGGGTGACAGCCGGTATCTGGATGCCCCTGGAGCAGGGACCGTCGTGAGCACTGAGGCTGGCCCTGTGTCCATGCACCTTTCTGAGCTTCAAGGGACCATGTAGGAGTTCCAGTTGGTTGTCGGGGTGTACGTGCCCTTTAAATGAAGAGATCAGACCCGGATTCCAGGTGATGAGAGGCACCCCGGGGTCTCGTCATGGAGGACGGAGTTCCGGTTCCCTTTATGTCTGGGTTGGTGGGAAGGACTGAGCACATTTCTCGGACGGCGGACGTGTCCATGCGAACGCTTTATAAATGCAGACGCAGGCGGATAATGTTCCGGCGCTGACTTTCCTTTCATGTTTAATGTATAAACACATCAGTTCTGTATCGCTCCGTGCCGGCAGGAGGAATATTTTCCACTTGGGCTTTTGTATACAAGTAGATAAATGTTTTCTCTTCTGCTGCCCCCCAGGGCGGGGGGGGGGGGGGCACCTCCCCGGCTGGGGGTTCCCTTGTTGTCAGCTCAGTGTACATACCTGAGCTTAAGTTGGTATCAGCCTCTCGCAGTCTACTGTACAGCAGAGCTCAGAGTGGGGGAGGGTGAAGCAGCACACTGAGCTAATCAGGGTGGCAATGCTGATAGGAGGAGAGAGCAGAGTGACAGAGAGATGAGCTCATCAGTGTGCATTTATCTCTGTTTACTGTCCCACTCAAATTTTAGGGGAAGGAGAAGCAGCACAAGGAGCCACTCCGGGTTGCTACAGTGCAAGCAGCATGCTGATAGGAGGAGAGAGCAGAGAGATGAGCTCGGCACTGTGCGTTTATCTCTGCTTGCTATCCCAGTCAAATAGCGGGGGAGGGAGAAGCAGCACAAGGAGCCACTTAGGGGTGCTGCAGTGCAACAAGCATGCTGATGGGAGGAGAAAGCAGAGAGACAAGCTTAATAAATTGCATTAATCTCCAATCAAATAGCGGGGGAGGGAGAAGCAGCACAAGGAGCCACTTAGGGGTGCTGCAGTGCAACAAGCATGCTGATAGGAGGAGAGAGCAGAGAGATGAGCTTAACATTGTGTGTTTATCTCAGTTTACTAATCTAGTCAAGTAGCAGGGGAGGGAAAGGCATTACTAGGAGCCAATCAGGGGTGCTGCGGTGCAAGGAGCATGCTGATAGGAGCAGAGAGCAGAGTGAGAGAGGAGCTGATCAGTGTGCATGTTTCTCCTTCTGGACTGAGAGTTATCCATCTTCCTGGATTCCCGCAATCTCCCCCGTAGTCGTTACTTCAGCCAAGATTTCCGCCGTCCTGGCCGCTGGCGGTGTTTGTAGGCGGGGATTCAGGAGCCGCCATTGTTTTATTTCGGAGTGTTCCTATACATCAGCCTGACTGACACCGGGCTGTGACTTCAACATAAATAAATATTAGGTTAATGATTCCCCAGCGAGCTGAAAGGCCGGCCGGGTGTAAATCCCGCCACACTCACACAGTGTTTGTTCAGGTGATTTATTGCCGCGGAAATGCAATGGAACATTCTGGAGTCCTGGAGAGTTGGAAGCGCAACTCCGGGCGGAACTTCCATTGTCTTCCTTCCGGGACGAGTGGGGAAGGGTTAAACCCCCCTCGCCCCTTTATTGCCGTCTGTGCAATGACTCGCCACCCGGCTTCCCGATTAGCAGGGAATCTGTCTCCATGCTTCCCGTCACCAGGCGATAAGGAAGTATGGAGCCGGCTTTCTGACCAATCAGGAAGCCGGGCAGCATGTAATGACTCGCTTCCTGATACCGGTAGCTCGGGTATCGGGCAGCGAATCATTACACGGCGGCCGGCTTCCTGATTGGCCGGGAAGCCGGCTCTATGCTCCCTTGTCACCTGTCACCTGGTGATGAGGGAGCGTAAAGCCGGCTTTCTGGCCAATCAGGAAGCCGGGGGGACGAGTAATGACTCGCTGTCTGGCTTCCTGATTGGCCAGCTTCCCGACCATTACACGCTGCCCAGCTTCCTGATTGGCCTGGAAGCTGGCTCCATACTCTCTCTTCACTGAGTGACAAGGGAGCATGGAGCCGGCCAATCAGAAAGCCAGGGCAGCATGTAATGACTCGCTGCCCGGCTTCCTGATACCGGGTATCGTGCTAGGCATCGGAGCATTTGGTAGAGTACTCGCCCAAATACTCGGTATCGGCACTGGTACTAGTATCGGTATCGCTGCATCCCTAGTTATAACCCCTGTCAACCTTTTTTTGCCATCTGTGTCCCATTGGAAAGATTTCCCCATACATCCTGTCCAACAGCCTCGACAGGAAGTGAAAGGAAATCCCTCCAAAGTGAAGGAAATCCCTGTAGTCACCAGAACTAGTGTCCCTATTGGAAGATTTCCCATCTCTTCCTGTCTGTAGTTCAGCCCAAAATCTTTCGCTTTCAGTGATAACGGTCACCAGGACAAATAGAGAGGGCGAATCTCCCAAACATGGACACAGACAGCAATAAAAACCTGACGGGTGTTTTAATCCCTCTCCACTCTATCCTAAACTAAACAAATAGCTTTGGCTTCAGTTGCACTTTGAGTGAGTGTTGTCACCCTGGACAGGAAGTATATTACAGGCAGGATCAACAGGAGAGAAAATCACAAAATAAAAAAACGAATGCAGCTGCCATGTCTAAGGACCGGCGTACTGCAATATGGTATATTTTTGCTTTTCGGGTTGCTATACCCTTTAAGGCCGGGGTGGGCAACTCCGGCCCTCCTCCTGTGCTTTAGCTACAAATCCCAACATGCCTCTGGGGGGATCAGGCCTGTACCTGTCAGTCTTGCAATGCCTCATGGGACCTGTAGTTCCACAGCAGCTGGAGGGCCGAAGTTGCCCGCCCCTGTTACGGGGTAAAGTAGGGCTCTGTATGGATGGGGCAGGAGGGAGTTTTGGCCGCGCTGCTCTCCTAGGGGAAGTGACACAGCTCTGAGCTATTCCAGCAGTGTGACGGTGACTCACTGACGGCACACAGGTAACCGGAGAGCGCCACGGTCTATGTGGGTGGCAGCAGAACCTGTTCTTTCATTTCACCTTTAAGCCATTACTGTGCATGTAATAACTATGTGTAAGTCCCGCAGAGAGGAGAAAGAAAAGAGCAGCAAAGACAGAAGCAGCTCACTAATCCCCTCTGAGTGCGTTACCTACCGGAGCGTTTAAAGAGACACTCCGATCACACCACAAAACCTGTTCCCCAGCAGTGACAATGACCCCCCCGCATACCAGCCAAATCCCATTCTCCACGCAGCTGTTCCTCCATTCCATCGCAGCTCCTCGCGTCACGCGGCTACGCTGAGACTCACATTTTCTGATGCTGAGGAGGACGATATGTCTACAAAGAACCCCATAGGGTAGAAGGGAACTGTAGTCCTCGAATTGTGTTCAAAGCTGGCCATACACTGTGCAGTCTGCCATAAATCTACCGACAACTGTGTAGGCCTGGAGTTTATCAAAACTGGAGTTGCCCAGGGCAACCAATCAGCATCTCTCTTCAGTTTGCTCAGATAAGATGTGGAAATGAGAAAGAGATGCTGATTGGTTGCTCTGGGCAACTGCTCCAGATTTGATAAATGCTCCCCTTTATATATATATAGTATAAATATATTTACAGGGTTATTCACTAAGCTGCCTAAAGCAGCGAGTGAATTACCGAACCGAACGACATTCGGCTATTCACTCCGGCTCAGTACGGGTGATTTCATGCCCTGCATGTTCGGCTGAAGTGCAGAAGGACTTCCACTCAGCCGGTCCAACATCTGGATCGGCTGAGCCGAAGCTCCACCCAGTTATTATTGTTTAATGACAGATCAGCAACCCCAGGTCGTTTGGGGACGCTGATCTATCATTACAACTGGGCAGAGCCAGCTGTGAGATCACATCTGGCTCCGCCCAGCTGTACCTGCATCCTTCCGCTCCTTAGTGAATAACCCCCTTCGTTTTATATTATAGTAGAGCTGTAGCTTGTAAAGGAAACGGTATAGAGATTGCCCAATCTGATTGTATAGTGCAGGGACACATGTTCCATCATGCTTCTGCCTCTGGGAGTCATGCCTGTGGCTGTCAGAGCCTTGCACTGCCTCATGGGACTTGTAGTTCCACAACAGCTGGAGTGCTGAGGTTGCCTACCCCTAGTATGGCCACAAAGAGATCAGTACAGTGTAGACAATCTCACCAGTGGGTGTCCATTGATACAGGAACACGCCCTTCTATGTATAGCCTGTAGGTGTGTTTGTACAGGGAGCAGGCAAATTTGCTAATTATCTCTACAAGCACTGTCTGCCGTCTCTAATGATGTGAAACGTCCACAGTGCTC